CTCGATCGATACCACCGGAGGTGGCGTGCTGTGGGACTTCGACGCTTTGACAACAAGTGGCTGAGACACCGGAGGCGCAATGGGCGTAGCACTCGCTTGGGCTGTCTCCCGCGCCTGAGGCGGCGGCTGAGGCGGACCGGATGGCACTAACACCGTTTCAGCGGCTGCTGACAATTGGGGCTCATGGAGTGGGACCCTAGGACCTGCAGCTACTGATGCGCCCTTAGGCTTATTCTTAGGGACTATAATTACTTGTCGAACATGTGGGGGCGTTACAGGGGGCGCCCCTTTTAGTGCATCGGCGGTTCCCTAAGTCACCCAAATTAGTAATTTTACTAACCATAAAATTTACGTAAATTTTTGGTTTTACTAAGGAAAATTTACGTAAAAATTTACGTAAATTTAATAGTAAATCCAATTTAGGTTATGAGTAAATCCAATTTAGGTTATTAGTAAATCCAATTTAGGTTATTAGTAAATTTTTTAGGTTATGAGTAAATTTTTGCGAGCATGATTTTGAAGCAGAAAATGTCTCTATTTATGTGAGTTGGCTTTCTCCAAAGAGGCAGGTTTTCTACAGGACAACATGTACTTGAGGATATTTGCGCTATGGATTTTTGTTTTTGTTGACTGACAAGCATGCCAGGAGGTGTGGACTTTGCCTTTACTTGAAGGGATTGCATTTACTTGAGCATGTGTACCCTTCTTGACTTGAACAAAACATTTTTACTTGAGGGTGTCTACTTGAGGGAGTAAATTTACTTGAGGATATGTACTTTTCTTCACTTTAGGAAGAAGAGCATTCTCTGATTCTCTGATGGTTTTTGCCAGTGTGAGGGTGCATGTTTTATGTGAGAGATCTTTTGGCTCTGTGAGAAGAAGAAAAAGAAGAAGAACAAGAGACACCTCAGCAAGAAGGAAACGAGCAGTGAAAGCGCAAAGCTGACAAGATTCTTGGACTGAACTTTAAACAAGTTTGCTTGTTGAAAATTAATTGTTCAAGTTTGTATTAACTGCAGCAAATGAACAAGAGTTATGTCAATGTTGGCTTGAAACCATTGTCAGGAGGCGTGACCGCATCAATGCCATGATGGACTTGATGAGGACGCTGCAAGATGACAGCAGTTCATCTCTGGAATCCTTGGAGTGAAAAAGACACAAGCAGCCTTTGGGGTAGAGTTGAGGGCACGCATTGTGACATGATGTTGAGAAGCTGTTACATGAAGAAGATCTGACTTTACTTGAGAAGCTTTTACATGAGGGTGTGACTTTACCTGTTGAGCTTTTACTTGAGGATGTGATTTCACTTGAGCATGGCACACTTTACTTGAGCATGGCAGACTTTACTTGAGCATGGCACACTTTACTTGAGCATGGCAGACATTACTTGAGGATGGTTTTACTTGAGTGTATTTTACTTCAGTGGTTGAGACTTTGTGTAAGTATACTTTACATGAGGACGCCATTCAACTTGGAATTGTGTGCTTAGTCTTGTTTAGTTTTGTTGTGAGTTGAAGTGTATTTGATATGTATTTATGAAATTTAGTTCAAAAAACTAGAAATTTAAGAGAAAATATTGATGAATTATTGATGAACTTTTGATGCACTTTTGATGCACTTCTGATGTACTTTTGATGTACTTTTCAAAAGTGTATACACTTTTGATCAAAAGTGTATACACTTTTGATCAAAAGTGTATACACTTTTGTTAAAAGTGTATACACTTTTGAAAAGTACATCAGAAGTGCATCAAAAGTGCATCAAAAATTCATACAATTTTTTGACAGATTTTATGAAAAGCTATGATATTCTGCATCATATTGTCAGCAAAAAGATATCTAGCATTCTTGTGGGTTTATCCTTTACCTGAGAATGTAATGCTTTTGCACAAAGAGTTGATCAGCATTGTATGTTGTTCAGTTTGAAGTTGGTTTATCCTTTACCTGAGAATGTAAAGCTTTTGCGCAAAGAGTTGATCAGCATTGTATGTTGTTCAAATTGAAGTTGGTTTATCCTTTACCTGAGAAGGTAATGCTTTTGCACAAAGAGTTGATCAGCATTGTATGTTGTTCAAATTGAAGTTGTTGAGAGTTTACTGCACAGCTGGCTTATTGGTTGTTGTTTACTTTTGCAGCTAGATTGATCTCAAAGAGCTTTGAAAGGTTTGAAAGATAGGCGCAGTAGCTTGTTGGCATTGGCATGGCAGAGGAAGAGATCCCCATGGGCCAAGTCACTCCTGAGGAGAAGGACGATGGTGTAGTTGAAGAGCCCAGCACACCTGTGAAGCAAAGGCCAGCTTCCAAAGCAAAGACCCCAAAATCCAAGAGCCCAAAAGCAAAGAGCCCTAAAGGGAAGAAGCCCAAAGCAAAAGGAAAGAGCAAGCCAAAGCCAAAGCCAAAGGCAGGCTCTTTAAAAAGGCCTGCTGCCAGTGGAGAAACCGTACAGCCAAAGAAGAAGCCAGCAGCTCATGGCTGGGCAGCAGGGTTGCAGGAGGATCAGGAGGAGGAAGCACCAGAAGTTGAAGAGGATGAACCAAGAGAATGTGGAGGAGGAGGAGGAGGAGCAGGACAATGCAGACTTCTTCGAGTGCGATGAGGCCAAGAAGGACAGGTCGAAGGACAACAAGTTCAAGGCCTTGTTGTCTGAGGGCTCTCTGCCAGACTATGTTGTGCAGGCTTGGAAGAAGACCTTGAGCATGAAGAAGGGACGCACAGAAGAACAGCGCAAGATAGTGAACCAAGTCCTGGACAGGACAAAGGATGGAAAGCTCATGGTGCTTATACCCAAGATATTTTTCTTGCGCTTGTCTTTCCTGCGTGCTTATACCTGAGTGTGTGTGCTTGTGGTTTTATCCAAGTGTCTCTACTTGTGGCTATATGTTTTACAAATTTACTTTCTTCAAAAGATGTGTTTTAGATGCAGTTTTGAATATTTGCAAATCAAAACGTAATGAAAAAATAGGAAAACCCTTAGTGAAGACCAACCTAAATAAATTTAGGTTGTACCTAAATCAAATTTACATTTACTAACCCATTTACACTTTTTGCCACCTAAATTCATCAATTTACGTAAATCCAATGAAAATGTAAATTTACTAATTTCGGTGACTTAGGGTTACAACTACTCGAACTCGCTTAGATGCTGGTTCGGCCAACTTCGGCTTTGGGTGACTTAGTTGACCGGTATTTGACCTTCCAACCACGTAAGCCAACCGGCATCTTCAGTCCTACCCTCGAGATTGCGGATGCGACGCGAACGAGCCTCAGGGTCGGAATTATCCGAGTCTTCAGCGTCAAGTTCATATAGGTCAGCATTTGCGCTCACATGAATGGTGGACGAAGAGGGCAGTAGAGGGTCGCCCTCGGCCTGTGGGGTGCTCGACCAAACAAGTCGTAGACCCGGTCTTGCGCCTCCTCAAGTGGCACTGATGGCACTGATGGTTCGTGTTCACGGTCCCATTGAGTCCTGCGAAGACGAAACGGCGTCAGGCGCCGATGGATGAAGGCGCCAGGGCCCGGGGTCATCACGACCGGACGGACCGGCTCCGCGCCAGAGGCAGCGGCCTTTGCACTCGTTGTTGGTTGGTCTTGCTCTGACTCGAGCGCCTCGGGCGAGGCAGCCCCTTGGTCTTCCTCTTCCTCCTCCTCGACCACAACGTCTTCCTCCTCCTCAGCCGTGGCCTCCGGCCTCACCTGCGACAACACTTGCCCGAGATCACCACGAAGCGCTGCTCCGCCCAACGCACTGGACGCGTGGGCCTTGGCATGTACGAGCTTGTTGTTTTGCGTCTCGAGGATGGCGTCTTGCTGCTGCACGGCGCTCATGTCAAGCTGGTCAGTGTCGGGGCGAACAGGAGGGACTGCCTTGACGGGTCTGAGTACTGGGATCTGTTCAGGATTACTACGAGTCCACTTAGGTATCATCGGCAAAAGTGGGCCACGGTAGCTGTATACATTAGGACCTGGAGCGTCAAGTGGTTCAGTCTCGCCATATGGGACGGACGGAGCTGGCTCGAGTGGAACGATAGACGAATGCTCGCCTTGAGGACCAGACCCAGACCCTGAAAACGATCTATTTATTGGATCTTCTTTGTTGCGATCCAAAAAATGGATGTCAACGATCCATTTTTTGATGCCTGGAAAGATCAATCTTGGCAGCAGACCTGGCACTTTGATTGAAAGAGCTGCCAAGTCAAGCTGAGTCGGGCCGATTTACACGAGCAATCTAGTTCGCGCGCTTGTGAGCTGGCAAGTTCTCCTTGTTTGAGTCTCCTTCCCACCCGCCCAGTTCTCTCGCAGCTGGAGTCTGTGGTCGCGCGCAGAATATGGCTGATGACAGAATTGGCTGATAACATCCTGACAGGTGCACATACGTTTCATTGCACAGTCATTGAAATTTGGCTAGGCCAGGTTTATATATAGCGCTTTGGATCTCCTACCTATCCAGTTCTTCCACCAATTGGCGTTCTGCGCCAAGTGTTCTTGAGCCACCCCCCCCCCCCCCCCCCCCCCCCCCCCCCCACACACTAAAAAACAGACTTGCGAGCGCTCTTTTACACAAACCCTTCAATCTTACAAAAGCCATGTCGTAGGTTGGAAAATTTGGCCTTTGGGATCCGTATCTCGGAAGTTTCTGACGTGACATTATTTTTGAAAAAATGTCCACAACTCCCGGACCATGCACTGGTGTGTGAGGAAGCACGTTTTCCGAGCGTTTCTTGCGCGTACTTGGTGAGACATCGATCGACCGTCAGGCAACAGGTGTTAAGTTCTAGCTTAGATCTCGAGAGGGATCATTGACTATCCCTGTCGCAGGGTCCTTTAAATTTGCAGATGAAGCTTGCACGGTGAACACCTGTGATTTCCGCCGCTACCGCGCAGCTGGCCCGGTCAAATGGGCCTGAGTAGCCCGCTGCGACGTCAGCCCGTTCAATCTTCCATGCGTTCAATCCAATAAACTGTTTGATAACAAATCCCTGAATTCTGAGCAAGACATTTCCCATTTACTTAGCCGGGGCCAATGGGTGCTCACAAGAAGCCTGCAATGGCCAAACGCCAGAAGAGCAATGATGACTTCGAAGGCCTAGCCAAGGCTTTGAAACCTTGGGCGTCCCTTTGTCTTTGCCAGGATTATTGCGTTCCAGTCTCCCGTTCTCCATAACCATGGGTCTACTTTTAGCTCAGCTGGTATCAGCCCCTTTTTTTTTGTGAGCCCCTATCACTTAGAACTCAGGAATGATCGAGATTTCGTGAAGTACACCATTGACAAGTCCATGAAGAAAAAAGAGAAGCATCACCTTGAGCTATACGTGAACCATTTGAAACGCATCCAGGATGTAGACCGGACCTTCAATTTCTCTCTGGCCACCATTACCAGCGCTTTGCACACAGTCAACAAGGAGACTTGACGGATTTTTTTGGAACTTTTCTGACCATGAAGTGAAACCCCAGGAAAGTCAATGAACAAGAAGCTCGGGGAGTTAGTTGGTTCCATAGCGCTCAACTCCACCAAATCTTCCTGGGCCCCCGCCGTGCCAGGAGAACGGCGTGGTTGATGAGAAAGAGGAAGATGGATGGTGGCCTAACTTGTTTTGGCAATTGATTCTGTGGAAAAATGTTCTCTTCTAAACGGTGGCGCGCATGTCACATTCTCCACTTGGGGGTTTTGACGTTGTCACGGAACATCCGTCCTGTATATATAGATATATATAGCGTATAACCATGCACCCATGAAGTGTGAGCTTTTCTCATGGATTCTGGAGCTTAGGTGCGCCAATCGAGCTCTACGTCTTGCTGCTCTCTTTCGCCATACAGCGCAGGAGGCCCTCAATTGCAGGAAGTGGATGCCTAAGGAGAGCTGGGAACCTTACCTGAGTGAAACCTGATGTACTTGTTTGTCATCTCCCGTGGGATTAGGTCGTTGAAGTGTGCGACAAGATAGTTCAAAACCAAATGAAAAAGATTTTCAGCGTTCTAAGAAATGAACATGTCCTTTCTCTGAGGGGACCTCCCAATATGTTCCACAAGTTCCACCCCACTCCCAGCTCCACTGCAGGAGATGTGGACTGGGGACGAAGCACGCCGTCGTCGACCAAAAGCTGACCCAGCTCCTGAGGTAAAGGAGTCAGCTGAAGCTGAACCCCAAAAAAATCTGAGGAGGGAGGCGGATCTCATCCTTCCGAAGACCCCAGGTCCAGTTCCAGCGAAAGCCCCAGTGTTTCTGTTTCTGAAACTGAGCAGTGTGTTGAAAGTGAACAGGCAGAGCATTCCAAAGCAGGAGACAACCATGATTCAAAAAGGAAGAGCCCAGAGCCGAGCCAAGAAACAAGTTCAATTGTCACTGAACCCCCAGCCAAAGAGATCAAACAGAGCAACAACTTGCCTGCAGCTCCCGAAGTACGTGTACCCATGGACAAAAACATCTCCAACGCCCAGTCTTTGGCTGCGCAGGGAGCGGGCGCCGATGCCCCAGACCCGCTCGAACAAAAACCTGCAGATCCTCTTCCTCCCCAAGCCAAGCCCGGGCTCCTCCAAGTGAAGCGCTCAAATTCTTCTGCTGACCTTGAATCCGCCGAGCAACAAAAAAAGGTAAAAAGCAGCACCGCGGCCAAAACCAAGGCTACCCCCAAGCCCAAGGCCAAGCGCAATCCCAAACACCAAGCTGGGCCCCCCACACCGGACCCCCAACCTATGGAGATGGGATATTTTGATTTGATGGCAGAATCTCTTTCTACATTAAAACCGCTGTTTCATGTGGGAGTTCCTTTTTGTCCATCAACTGCCAAACTCAAACGGGTCCAACTGGTCCTTTGGAGGTGTGCTTCGAAGTTTGGGGCATATATGTATATATTATATATATACCGTTCCAATACACACACCCAAGCACAGAGAAAAGGCTACTGTATGTATTTGATCCGCTCGAAGGTGTTTGAGGTCAATCAATGCGCCTGTTTGTTGAAAACTCAAGAGGCAAACAAACTAGACCTGAGAAACGAGAAGGCAATTCGCTTGCTCAAGCCAAGGAAGTCTTTGGAGAAGTACCGGACTATGAATCCTTCGTGGACACGCAAATCATGCTTCGCCCCGTGATTCCGACCGGCGGACGCTTGGCTGGCTTGTTGGGGCCCACGCTGGGGAAAGCTTGGATGTAAAGCCACCGCTGCCCAAACCTCGAGAATGGCTTTCAAGGAATACGCAGACTTATTCATTTTGGATTGAACGAAAGAGACATGTCACCGCTTGCGCAATTAATCGCAATTTCGATCAAGGACCTTTCCTAGTGGGCTTGTCTATCTTGGTTAGGTACTTGTCGCCAACAAGTCCTTATTTCAGGGGTCTTTGTGTCTCAAGCAAACATAGGTTTGTGAGAACCGCTGATCATGATCTACAATATATTTTTATATACATATGTAATATGATATTATATGAAGCAAAAGCGTCCAAAGGTCAAAAAAGGTATTATGAGTTTATTGAAGCCAGAGCGTCCAAAGGCAAAAAACTACACTGACCAACAGGTCGCCAGCTGGCATGTTGAAGGGTTGGGCACCCAAATTGGAAAAATCCATCCTTCAAAGTCAAACAAACCATGCAGGGTGGTTGAAAGAGTGCGCAGTCTTGCCCACCACGACCCAGCCAGCTTGGTCTGAGGCAGCCAGCTCACTGATCCTCGGGTGGAGCCTCGAGAGCCTGCCGCCAGCGCAAGCGATCGAGGCACAAACAAAAGGGACCTAGAACGACACGTGGTACCGCCTGAACAGTTGGCATCACCTCGACCAAAGGTGCCAGCCGAACCGAGTGCAAAGGAGGAAGAATCACAAGAAGTTCACCAATATGAATTTGGGTGGTGTGAAGAGAGCTTACGCATGTGGCGAAAGCAAATCTTAGGTCCAAAGAAAAGGGGCCCCATTGAATTCTCCAAAGTTCCAACCGTAGACGACTCTGCGGACGGTGACGCGCCCGTCGTGTGTGTCTTTGGGGATGGTCAGAAGGCTGAAGTTTCGCATCTCACCATGGACCCTCTTCTGATTTCTGTTCATGTTTTTCTGACATATGTGTTTTTATGTCCTGTTTTTGAGGTGTCCCGGTTTAGCTGTTTTTTCATGCTTTAAGACCATCTGTCGGACACCTTCGAATGTGCATTCCCGTCATCGCCCTCTGTTCCCAAGCCCCCCAATTAGGAAACATATCGTCTCTTTCTCCCTGTCTATATACTCTGTTATGTTAATTAGTATAATATGTATACATGGGTGTTTTGTGGCTCGTGGGTTTGAGACTACCGCGATAGCCTGCTGACTTCCCCTGGTTGCCGCAGCTTGAGCCTTCATTCCAAGTAAGGAAGACTTGGCCATCAAGTTGGGCAAGAAGAGCAAACTGGCCTCGACCGTTGTGCCACCGGCTGGCGAACCGAGTGAGCAGCCAGCTTGGGAACTTGATCCAATTTCCAAGGACCCACGGATGAAGAGAATGATGAAAGAAGAAGTTGCTGAGGGTGAGCGGGGTTCTTTGAAGATTCAGCTCAAGCCTCAAAAGGGTAGATCGGCTATAGTTTCAATGCTCTTCAAGGGCCTAGAAGACAAGAAGTTCTCCCAAAAGAGTCAAGTCGTCGTAAAGCCACCAACTATTTTGGCAGTCGATGCTATGGTCATTGTGAAATTCTTGTCTTGCAAATTTATGGATGGGGAGATTGATCTGGAGGCAATGAAGGCCGCGAAATATGACCTGTTAGAGGCACACCAGCAGGGAAAGCTCCTAGACCGCTTGAAGTCTGAGCTAGACCCAAACAACCCATCCAACCAAGAGTTCTTGGGTATTGTAGAACTGCGGCAAACTTTGACTTTGGACACTTCGGGTGGACAACATGATGGTCGAGCGGATGGGAAGCCTACACCTGGGACAGGCCGGGCTGTGTGGGATCACAAACGACCAAACAAGGAAGTGAAGCTGCGCAAAATCTGGAAGCTCAAAGGTTGCAACAAACCCGGTCGACCGTTTCCAACATGGTGCATGAGGGCCTTATAAGCCCTTAAGCTTGATCACTATATTCGTGACACAATTTAGCTCCACGAGCGCAAACATATTAGGTGATACCCTCCAAACTCACGATGCAGTTTCCGGGGTGGGTTCACAGAGAACTGACAACACAAAATCATTTTACAGGAGTTCCTTCTATCCATATACGCGCTGACGGGTCTGGTGCGCATAGTGAACCAAATCACGCCTGATTGAGGCAATGCTGGCACCGCGGCCTCCTGATCGATGCTGACTGCTGTAGCGTCAGTTGATTGGACACTTGGGGACCGCTATATGGCCGGACCTCAACAGACGCACACCCCGGCCAGCCCTATAGATAAATCGCTTCGGTTCTTGAACGATGTTTCCGACTACAAAGAATGATGTAGCTATTTCCTGTTAAATTGTATTTGGAAGCTGTGTTCGTGGTCCGATTGGATCTCTGTCCGTATCATTTTAAGAGCTTGGTGATAAACAATCGATCGAGTAGGTAGTGGTCAATCACTTCAAAGGACAAACGCTGGTTCTGGGTGGTGGCTCCAGTCTCGCATATAGCGTCTGACTACAGACCAGTCATGACAGACCAGTCATTAGCAATTTTGCGATCTCGAGTCGCCAGAAAACAAAGCTTTTTAGCTTGCTTGAGGAGGGCAGGCGAATCCTTGTCTTCAGGCACCCCTCCAAACTAGCTGTGGTAGGCGGCGTACATATAGTCTAGAGTCTAGAGATGCCGGGAAGCAATGACAAAGCTTCAAAAGAAACGGCAAACCTAATACATATATATGTTTTTGTGGGGCATTTGGGACGCTATCTGGGAGTGCGGTTGTAGGATTTTGGCGCTGCCCTCTTGCAAAGACAGAGCATGGCTCCCACCAAGAGCAAACTCTCAACAAGTGGCCTGAGAACCCCTTTCATTCTATATTATATACAGCGTGTCCAATGCCATTTGTTGATAATTTGTTTCAACATGTTCTGGCATGAAATGGTACGCCGATTCGCAATCGATCGTGGTTTTGAGTTTCAGGCCTCAAAGCGCTTCAACGATGTCCAAGAACAGCAATAGGTCTCCCAACCTTAGTGGCATTCTTGGCTTCCATGTAGCAAACTACTACTGGGCTTTGAAAGCTGCCTTTTAAAGGTGGCCCAGAGTGATCTTGTTTTAGCTAAAGAAAGGGATTGTCAGGCCACCTCCAAAAATGTTGCTTTATGGCCTTTGGCCACCTCGAGTTTTGGTGGCGATACATGTCTGGTATTCATGCTTCTTGGATTCCTTTGGAGGCCCTGGAGGCCAACCGGCCTGGAACCTTTGAACTCTTTAAAACTATGGCTTCCAATGGCTTTTTACAAAACGTGACCTAGAATGGACCGATGAGCCCTCGATGAGGGGGTACCGATGAGCCCCCCGATGAGCTCCCCAGTGAATTAGGTACCCCCTTTATAAAAATGAAAGGGATTTGGCGATGAGCCCCCCGATGAGCATACCAAAAACCAACGATGAGGGGGTGATGAGGGGTAGCGATGAGCCCCCCGATGAGCGTGTCCAAGAATAGGTTGCCCCATTATTAAAAATGAAAGCATTTAGGCGATGAGCCCCCCCGATGAGGGTGGCGTTGGGAGCGATGAGCCACCGATGAGGGTGCTCTGCAGGGAGGCTCGAGATCCAATTTTGTGGTCTTGACCTACAGGCCGCTATATAGTCCCACCAACATGGCCACCGCAGCTCCGTCTGAGCAGCCGGCAGGGTCCCCAAAGCCAGCTGCGCCTGTTGAGCCGAATGAGGAGCCGAGTCCACTAGCCGAATTGTAGGTAAACGGGCTTGTATCTGCTTGAGTTTTGTTTTGAAGAACAGCTTTAATTTAGCGTGCTTTAGCTCAAAAGAACATCGGGCCGCAAGGAGTTAGATGTGCCAGATTTGAAACCATCCTTGGAAAGAGCGATCCAGCAGTATGCGAACTACATGGGTGTAGACCCCAGCACTGTCACCGAGAAAGTTTTGGAGGAAACGGAGGAGGGGGTGGAGGGCTGGGCTACTTATGGCCAGGATGCACGGGCACGTGGCCCCATGGGAAACGCCATGTACCGTCAGATGAAAAAACCATCTGGCGCAGCTGCTGCTGAGACATACAAGTGGTTGTCTGAAGACTTGAAGAAAAAGTTCAGGCAGACGTGGGCTATGAAACGCAGTTGGGATTTCATCGACAAAAAGAGGATCCGAAGCGTTGAAAGCAAAACCAAACAAGAAGTGGGCACATGGAAGAACCAATTGCAGTTGGAAGTTCATTTTGGTGGAGCCGGGCTACCAGAAGCCGTTCGCCAAGCAAATAATTACATCATCAACTGCAAGACCTTTGAGGACCGATTTTTTTAACATGTGTTAAACACATCTGGTGGTCACCATACACAGGACTGATTTGTTTTGTAGAATGATGGCGCAGGATGTCTTCGTCCGGTTCAACACGTGGACTGATGCTGAGAACTACCTGCTCGTGGAAAAGCTTGTGTCGAAGATCGAGGTGGAAGCCTTCAAGGAGGTCGCTGAGATGGTGGACGGCTCAGGGACTTTCCAAACGGAAAGCTTTCGCATGAAGGCCATGAGGAAGTTTGCGGTCTACCACAACTTGCAGCTCGAGGAAGTGAACTACGATGATGTCGCCAACAGCCCACAAGGACTTCGAGGTTGGGGTGAGATGAACATTGCGGTTCCGGGCATTGCTGGCGAGGGCGGAGGCCATGCAAGTCCTGTCGAGCCTGCGCCAACTCTCCCGCCTGTGGATCCTGAAGGCGGCGAAGCTGGCGGTTTGACCATTCCAAACAAACAGCAGCCTAAGGGCCGCGGAAAGGGGGGACCAAGGAAGAGAGGTGCCGACAATAAGGACGCACCGGCCCCAAAGAGGAAGGTCAAGAAGGAGCTGACAGCTGAGCAATCTGCTGAAGCCAGCTCCAAACAAATCCTTACCCATCTCCAGTGGAGCCAGCAAATTATGCAGAAGGTAGCTGGAGATGGCGATGACATTCCTTCGGAATACCGTTGGGCAAAGTCGTTCTTGGAAGACTACCGTGATTGTCTCTCTAGGTTCAAGGATGCTGTGGCTCCATGTGGGGATGGAGGGGATGACTTGATCGAGTTTGTGGATGAGTTGAAGCTCTGCGTCATCAGCAAGGGTGGGATGAAGACTTTGAAAAAGGGGTATGGTGATCGCTATGTCTCTATGCTGTCCCTCTTTGTTGACCGGTGCCAGAAGATTGCTGCTGAGAAACTTGGGCGACTTAAGTAGAATAGTTTTTCATAGTTTGTTACTTATTGTTTGGAAGGTGGAAATAGACTGTTGGCCTCCTGTCCTATATTTTGCCAACAATTGGACCGCGGCTCACCCAAGGATGGATTCCATTTCGAACAAGGTTCACAAGATGTCCCAGGTCTTGGTGGGTGCTCCAAAGCCTGCTAAGCGGGCCAGGAAGAGTTGAACTTTTGAAGTAGCGGGGTTGAATTCTTGCAGCGCTTGCTGCAAATAGCAATTCCTTCTTGGGAAATCAGGTGAGAAACATCTGATCCAGGCTGTGCAGTAGGGGTGCTGTACAGTCCATCTAGAGCACCAGACGATCAACCTTCAGTCCTAGACAAAAACAAACGCGGGGGGGGTCAGGTGAGAAACCTCTTAGAACAAATCTATATACAAAACAGCCTTTTTGGTTCAAGACATGTTCAAAAGAGCTAGGATACTTGCCAGGGCTGGTGAAAGCCGTGAAACCGTACATGAAGCGGCCCACAAAAAGGCAGGGGAAGAACTGCGCCAGTACCTTCTCGAAAAGTTTTGCATTGAGGGGATGACCGGGTGTGAAGTTGCAACGCTCTCCCACTTCATAACCAGAGCCGGCGGAGTCGGCCTGGAAGATCTTGCGCTTCCACCGTCAACGGCCTCCAAGAATGGACACGCGCACGTTCGCAGCAAGGCTGGCAAAATATATCCAGAGGTGGATCTGGACTATGTGACATGCCCAATGTTCGTGAAACGGGATGCTTGCAGGTCTTCAGAGTCTATCCCAATTTTTTTGCCGTCCAAAGCCTTCCAAACCTTTCTCACCACTGAGATGCTTGAGAACCACCCCAAGAAAGATGTGGCTAGAGTGCTTGGTGGATTAGACAGCTATGATGCCCATCCCGTGGTGGAAGCTGCGAAGCATGAAGGCTTCAAAAACCTTGTTCGCCCTGTTGCACTCTATTGGGATGGTGTGGCCTACACCAAAAATGATTCCTTCTTTGCCTTCTATGTTACTGACATTTTGAGTACCCAGAAGTTCCTCTCATTCCTCTTACGTTTGAACCTTAGTACGGCGTGTTGAGTTTATCCTTCCGTCCGTTTTCAATTCAAGCCCCCTCAGGTAGTGAAGAGATGTGCCAATGTGGCTGCAGGGGGTGGTGCACGCTCTTCCCCCTTCTGCACAAGTGGACCTGTGACTTGAAGTCGCTCCAAACTGGCGACACCCGGTTTGCAGTCCTGGACATCCAGGGCGATTGGCCTGCCTTTTTGCAAGTGTTTGGATTGCGGTATTGGAGTCATAAGACTCATCCCTGCCCGTTGCGCACCATCAACCAAGAAGAACTGGGCAGATTGCGACTAGGGGAAATGACCGTGGATTCCATGCCCTATCCATTTTACACAACCAATGATGTGAGAGCGGATTTGGCAAACGCCACGCGGGCTCCCCATTTGTAACCAACAAAGGATTTATTTGTTGCTTGTTATTTGGATTGGTGCATGCACCGTGGCCCAACCAAACAACAACCTACCAAGGTTTTGGAGGTGACCTCCACTCAAATGAGATCGAAAATCCTCCAGAGCCTAGCCTACAAAAAAAAATGGCGTGGTCGAGCACTGATATCTGCACTCCCGCAGTATGGCCTTGGAAAGGGCAGCCGGCTGATGCCAACGCCAAGCATGCCTGATGTGGCCAAGTTTGAATTCATGGAGGTCCCCTTCACAGTTTGGTGGTGGGTGGGCCCGGAAGACTTCCGTTTGGTTCATGATTGCCCGTTGGTGGAATTGGACGGGGTTGGCTTGGAGAGTTTTTCTTTGGACATCATGCACTCCTGGCACTTGGGGCCACTGCAGCTCTTGGTGAGCTTGGTCCTGAACTTTTGCTTGGATTGCGGGTTGTGGTCACCGTCAGCTAGAGGGTTGGATGCAGCGGACCGCCGCAGAATCAGCCTTCAGGCGATCAAGGCTGAACTCTATCTGTGGTATCGCGATAAAAGAAAAGATCCAGATTGGGTGGGCAGAAGCTCCGAAGCCACTAGCCTTCTCTCAGCAAGTTCAAGGGTCCTATGTCTGTTGAACCTTTAATAGATAAAGTGATCTGGTGCTTTGAATTAGGGGAGCCCCTACATCTAAGGTGTGGAATTTGACCCTTACCATGCTGGGTTCCTCCGACAGCCCCCATTTGCACGCCAAAGCTGCTGAATCGCACGGCTTGGCTCTCTGGATCCAAGACCTGCTCACTGGTCATTTGCAAGACTTTGAGAGTTTGCCAAAGGAATCATTTAGAAAGGCAAAGTTTCTTTTGGAGGCCTCAAAGGCTGCCAACAAATTAGATAGCCTTTTTGCCACTGAGAACCGAAAGCTTTGCCGCGAACAGGTGCAAGAAGCACTAGCATCATATCTTCGGTTTTTGGCCTTTTACAGCAAAGCTGAAGGGCCCATCACCCCAAAATGCCATTTTATGATACACCTCATCCAAAGAAGCCTGTTCAAAGGCAACCCCAAAAAATACTCCACGTATCGTGACGAATCTTTCAATGGGCAAATCGCTAAGGTTGCCCGGTCTTGCCATCGAAAAACTTGGCAAAATGTGGTGCACTGGAAATGCCAGTGCCTACACAAGAAAAACCAACAACGGGTGCTCGAATCGAAGCTCTTCAAAAACGGTCGCAGCGGTCTTTGTGGGTCTGTCCTTGTGAACCCTTAATTGAAAGTGTTTTTTCAACGTTTAATGGGATATGTTTCTAACTCCGATAGCCGGCGTGCTTTGAGCCCAGCCTCGAACGGTCCGGCGCGGCCCGATTTCCATAGCTCCATATGGCGGTAAGGAGGGTATCAAAAGTTGATGACTTCTTTGATGCCTCCCAATGCCTAGAGATTGTTGAAAAGACTGTGGAGGAGTTTGACAGTGATCCCTCCAACACTCGTGCTCTAGATTCTCTTGATATTTTTGCTGGCAAGGGCAACTTCTGTGCTGAATGTCAAGCAGGTGGCAAGACTAGTATGACTGTGGACATTCTCCATGACAAGAAGAACCACGACATCTTGACGCGGACAGGTTTCTTCTATGTGCTGCAGTGCATTCTCACGATGGTCCCTTTGCTTCTTACAAATGCAAAGTTTTATATAATGATGGGCCTCTGTGGTTTGCGCTGTTTTGTGAAGGTTTCTGTGCTGCATGCTATCCAAATAACGTGAGGTGGAATATGGAATGATTCTTTGCGGCCCTCCTTGCGGCCTATTCGTCTTCCTCTCAGCCAGCTACCATCGTCGGAGCATGGACTTCCCCTATGGTGATCAATCCAAACCAAAAATCAGGGGGGGCAAACCAGCTGGTGATCAACCTTATCGTACTTCTGGCTGTAGCGCACAAACGCAAGATCTTCTTTGTGAATTTTGGCTTCAAACTTGAGTCAAGGTTTTTCTATATTTCTCCAGCTGCTCCAAAAAAAGTGTGAACGGCTCAAAGCGGCTGCGATCAGGATGGAACAACCAGCTTCATCGGTGCTATGGATCTTCCCTGAGCTAGACCGATTCTGGCGCTTCTTGGAAGGGGTGAGAACTCACACGTGGATGAGGAAGTTTGGGCATCCATTGCCTAAACCAACCGTTTTGTTTAGCAATGTTTGTCGTGAGTTCCTTATCCCTTTGGCTGGGAAATGGAGTAAAAAAATGGAGAAGATTTGGCAGAGAATCCTTGCGTCCCGGTTGGCTTCCAGCCCTGCAATTGCCTTGCTGTGGAAACACAAAGCCAGGTGACTTTGATTCTTATCAAAAAGAATTCTATTATGGGTTTGGGTGTTGGTGGAGGGGTGTGAAAACAGAACCCTTAGTTGTCCAAGTCAGTTACATCAAGGTACCTACGCACGGCCTTGAAGTTTCGCGCATGGTACAAGCACCGCTGCGCCAATGAAGTTTTCTACAGAAAGCACTTGAGCAAGAGCAAACGCCGTGTGTTTGTGAGTGGTGGAAAAAAACTGAAAGACAGCGGGATCTACACCCGCCCGTTCTGCCGAGCCGTGATGGACGTGTGGGCATCTGCGGCGGCCGTGCAGGACAATGGACTGACACTTCCACTCCAAATCCGAGACCATGTCACCATCTGGCGCGAGTCTTTTAAGGGAAGCTTCACTGAACCAGAGCCTCGTCCTAAGAGGAAAAATTTGGTCAAACAAAGAAAGAGTGAAACTCAATTTGGTAGAGCTCGTGTATCCAAGGACACACTGGTGGTTGAGCAGATCACCAAGACCTTGACTTACCTAGAAAGCACGATCGCGGTGCTTGACTGATTCACTTCGAGTGATCCCGAGAAAAGCTGCCGACCTCTCTGCGAGACAGTTTCTTAAGGTTTGCAGCGTGTGTGTGTGAGTGAGGTTTCCGGTCTTAAATAAGTGGTGCTTAAATAAGTGTGTGTGTGTGCGGTTTTTTTCCATGGGCTGAGGGAAACCACTAGGGGAACAAACAATAACAAACATAGTGCAGCTCTATCTTGTCTGCCGTGATATTTGCAAAATATTTTGCAAATATTTGCGAATCACGTTGCTATACTGCATGGTTCTTAACACTTCCATGCTCTTTGGCCTGGTGGTAGCGGAGTTCTCCATCTTGGTGGGTATGTGCAAACTGACACTGCGATCCAAAAGATGGATGTCAGCGGTCCATTTTTGGATCCTTCAGCTGCGTTCCAATAAATAGATCTTTTCCAGGGTCTGGGGACTCTATCGGAGGACTTGGTGCTGGACCCTGTGGTGGAGGTGGAAGTCGAATCGGAAGTGATGGCTTGGGAACCTCTACGAACATAGCCCCAGCCTTGACCTGGGTCGACCCTCTGGCCTGCGGTGACAAAACCGGCGGGACCTTTGGGGGCGGACTAGGTGGGACTGGCATGCTACTGGACGAATGCGAGGTGCCCGCGCCAGAGGCAGCGGCTTGCTTGGTCTTCGGCCCTGCGGCGACAGACTTTGGCTTGGAATCACTCCCTTTTGTCGCTGATTTCCCCGCCCCGGCCTTTGCGGCCTTAGCTTCAACTTGCGAACGAGGTGTCAACACAACTGGGATATGCCCACGCTCGAGCGTGGGGCGCCACGGCGCTGCTGTTGCCGACGCACCGGCTGTAGAAGACGTTCCCGGAGTGGCCTTAGGGGCTGCTGATCGAGAGCGGTCGACACGGGGTGGTGCGGCCGAAGACGAAGCCTTCGAGTCGGAGTTAAACACCGTCCTGGGTGGAGCGACCTTAGTTTCGGCTGAACGCACATGGCGAAGTGGCACGAATGGATGGTCGGAGCTCCAATACCCTTTGGGCAGTCTGTATTTCGGTTGCGGAATGCCCTGCAGTAAGGTGGAATCGATGGAGTACAGGAACTGCCAAAGCTCAGGTAGGATAGTTGCCCATCTATAAGGATGGTATCTACCGGCAATAGCTCTCCGTCCAAGTCGAATGCCCACCTGTCGGAGCGACGAAGGACATACCCGAACCACTGTATTGCTTGCGGGCGATATGCGGGGGAATGTGGGGGAGATTGAAGCGGCGGCCGAACCGCGCATAAGTGGAGTCACCAAGCTGTGCACTGATGTACTCACAGGTGGTTCCGTAAGACAGGTACCCCTCCTGCGGGTGCGGTCCCTCTCTCCCTTTCCCGCGCCCGTGGCAGCGGCTTCGCCAACACCTAGATCCGCCGGCTCGGGTTCGACACCCGCGGCTCGAGCGGACTCCTCGAGCGCGGCCTCCAAGTCGTATTGTTCTTGGATGCGCTGCGCAATCTCCTCACCGGCTGCTTCCTCGGCTGAGGACTCTTCGTCTTCACCAAGTGGGTCAAACAGATTATTGGTGGGGAGGGGAGGACTATTAGGTGTGGGTGAGGCCTGGGCGATTAATGTTTCTGCGGAAACGTTTCAGGCTCTTCCTCACCGAGGACCGGAGGGTCTTGGTTCGTGAGGTCAAGGGAATTCGAATCCTCCATCGAGGCTTGCATGCTTTGGTCGATGGGGCTTGGTTCAACCGGTTGATCTCCTAGCGAATGCTCGGGGTCTTGAACGACTTGATCCGATGTGCTAGGGGCGGTCCCTCCAACAGGGTCGACGGGTGCCGCGCATACAGCAGCAGCACCCTCGCCTGGTGGGTCCTGTCCGTCCCAATTGACGTCCGGACCGGCAAAGGGCTCCTCTAGTTCGACTTCGCGGTCGTCGACCTCAAGCTCCGAGAACGGGAATATCGTTGGGCCCGAACCCGCTGAGGATGCAGCACTACCACGTCTCGAACTATCGGTGCCCGCGCCTGCGGCGGCGGCTGGGGGTTCCAATGGCTCTACGAACAGCTCGAGGGCGCTGGCGCCCTGTTCGCCCAAATGGGAGAGCGATGTCACCTCCAACTCCGGAGCATCTACGCCTACGTTTGCACCTAACGAATCCGCGCTTGGAGCAGCGGCTTGCATTTCGGCAGCTGCTGGCTCGGATCTTTGGTCAGGCGTGGGAGGGCGTGGGAGGAACACTTGGCCCTATCGACGAGTCCGCGCCGGAGGCTGCGGCTTGCGCCGGCTCCGTGCGGGGAGAGCGAGGGGGTGTCACTCTAGGCATAGATGAGTCTATTAGGGTCGGATTATTAGAGCTCGTAGGTTGGTTAGACCTACGGCTGATAACCAATGAAATTGACAAGGACTCCGGGATATCAAGGAATAACCACCACAATCTATTGATGGGGAGGGTTACCGCAAGATATGCAATGGAGTGGATGACCCTCTGGCGGGTCGGCGCACGGCGAGGGGTATCCGAACCCTTGGTCCCCGTGGCGGTGGGGTGCGAGCGAAGCGAGCTCTATACGGCCAGCAACGAAAGCACGAACACGAAAGTGCGGTGGCACGGCGGTCGAACGAACGACGTGCACGAAGCTGAAAACACGCGAAGCGCTTGTTTTCTTGAGCCATAACGGGCGTCGAGTGAGACGAAGTTCACGAACGACGACCTAGACTGTACATGTGAACCTGCATGACAAGTTAGGGGTAAATCATGCTTCACAAAAATCGACTATTTTAATGTATAAATTAGTATTAAATACGCCATATTTGAATGATTTATATTAAAAATATTGTAAAATCCAGTGGCATAGATTTAAAGCTTTGGGTGGTAAGTTTTCTTATGAGGAGGGAAGATTTTTTTGTGTAAAGGAAAGAATACTCAGGGCGGATACGGTTAGGTGGGCTTCTGGATGCCCTGGCCGGATTTTCCATATTCTTTTTTGTAAATTTATTAATAAGATATTATGGGTTCTTAATGAAATCTTCTAGACCACAAGCCTCGAAACAAATTTATCTTTAATAGTTTATTGAATTCTATTGCAAATATAATATTATATATATATTATAAAATATATTCCAATCGTTCATTAATTAAAATATATATGTTGCACAGAGAATTAGGACTTATTTTTCATAATTATATAATATTCATAATTATTGCCAGGATCATTTCCAACATAAAATTGCATTGGAATTCTCTGGGGGATTCTATTTCTTCTGGAAATGGAACCATAGAAATATGTATATATAATTGATATGGCGAATATTCGAATTATTTAATATGTCATGACAAATCCTTCATATGAATTGATCGTGGATTGCATCCCATCAATATTGTATCCTATATAAATATTTATTTGGATATATTCATGTTTCTCGAGATATCAAATAGGATTCAAAAGATGCATCCTTGTTAAAGACCTTGATGATATATTTGGTCCTGACAGATCTTGCCGATCGATATGGCTTGCATTGGTTGCGGCACCATAACGTGATTTATATTAAAAATATCCATGTACGATGGATTATCTAGACCCTTGCACAGGATTATTTGCCTTGTCCGAATTGGAATATATGTTGACCATTTTCAAAGCTTTTGCATTCTCCATCAACACTTCTAAGAGTATTGCAATGATTGCAATGATGCAATTCATGGACAGAATTGATTGCTCCTTCTGCCGAGATTGAAGTAACCGACCTACCACGGATTCCTTATTGCACACGCCAAATGGCTTATGGATATTGCCGCTCGGTACCAAAATAGCGTATTTCGGGGGTGATTATGATCTCTTGATTGAGGAAATGTCACAGCACTATACCCACATTCTTCTCCAGCCCAGGCTACTGGGCACAACAACACATGCTCTCCAAAACAATCCAGACATCCAGATAGGGAGCCCAGAGATCCAGAGGCACATGGAAAGATTCCAAGGCTTGCTCACCAAAATGGCAAGAAGAATCACCACCGAAAATAAGCAACGATTCCTCCATATCATGGTCAAGACCTTAGAAGATGCAGGACAGAAAAAGAGGAAAACCTAGGCCTTAGCACACACAAAGCCCCTCAACCCCAACGCTTACATGGAACAAAGCACCGGGTTCATAGGGTAGCCCTGCAAAGCGCCCACCCCTCCCTGCACCATGCAACGCACAAAAAGCTCAGGCAAAGGAAATTCAAATATATTTTGCCAATATCACTAGGCGCAGTGAAAAGGCACAGCAGCACATCTGGG